GTGAAGAAACTAGGACAGCAACTCCAGATGGGAGTGCTCTTTATATCTTGTAGTTGTGTTATTCTGAACTAAATAGTTAAAAGTATTGTTACATAAGTGGATATAATAATTTGATTTAATGGACTGTTAGATATTGCGGTGGCCATCGTCGACGAGTTCCCGCCTCTGGCTGTGACTAAACACCCAGGTCAAAGTTCATCTCCACTTAAGATCTTAGCTACGAAACCTGAGTTTTTTCGCAGCCATTGCGATCTTGGATTTTGGGGAAGACTCATCTACTCATGTATCCAATTTATACTCCATTAGTCTTTTTTATTGTTTTCCATTTTAAACCATCCTGATCTTAATAGTTCATATATAAATATCTTCATTTGGTAGGTGTAGACTTTGATTTTCCAGCTGATTCTGAGACTTCCAAACCAAACCTATTCCAACGTACGCCATGCACATCCAAAATTTGGACTTTTATTCCAGATAATTAGTTTATTACAAATTTTAAAAATATAATACTCATTGAAGTTTGTATTTTTATGTCTTTCCATCATCAGGTCTATTATGGATGATACTACAATGGCTTCCCAAATGGTTTGGTACGTAGATCGAGCTTGGTTTAATTTTTATGAATCTGTGCTACATAGAGTCATATATATAGGCCCGGCTTGCTTTCATTTCAGAATAAAGTAAGCTAAACATGATCAGTTAGTATTTGGTCGATCAAGATCAGGTGTTCTAGAAACACATACTTATGGCCGCTACAATATTCGCATGGCTAATATATGTGATGAATTATGGCCATTCGTGGATTTCCAATTTAAAACCAATTGATAATAAATTAGATGGTATTTGTCTGATGGACAATTTAACATTTCAATATGAAGTTTTTTAACAATATATAAACTGATGGATATCTCCTTTTTTCTCCTTTGACATAGGAATCAAGAAAATAGAGGAGCTAAAAGAGAGACACTCTCAAGCTCATAAGTTGCTCCAAAAAATGTGCAAAGCGGTACAAGTCATGTTTAAGGACGAGAGTTGGAAAGCGACAGTCCATGAAGCCCTACTTGAGGCGGTGGAGAATGGGAACGAGGAATTTTTCACCGAGATAATCAAACATAACCCTCGACTTCTATGGATCTCGGAAGCTAACTCTAGACGAAACCTATTTCAGCTAGCTGTTAAATTCAGGAAAGAGAAGATCTTTAACCTCATCTATGGCTTAGATGATAGAAAAGTCAAGCTACTTAGATCTTGCGACCAAAACAACAACAATATTCTCCATATCGTGGCTTATCTATCTCCTCGACCCGACCACCTCTCTAAGATTTCTGGATCTGCTCTCAAGATGCAAAGAGCTATTCAATGGTATGGGGAAGTAAGGAGCTTGGTATCAGAACTTGAAGTAATACAAAAAAACAACGAGGGGAAGACACCGCGACAAGTATTCGAAGAGTCTCACGAACCTCTACGAAAACAAGGAGAAGAATGGATGAAATACACTGCCACTGCTTGTAGTTTCGTGGCTGCTCTCATTGCAACTGTTACTTTTCAAGCCATATTCACTGTTCCTGGAGGTACTGATGAAACTTCGGGTAAGCCTCTTCTTCTTAGAGACTTACATTTCACTGCGTTCATCATGTCAGACGCTCTTGCCTTCTTCACTTCTTGCACCTCAGTGCTCATATTCCTCAGCATTTTGACCGCAAGATACTCTTTTGATGACTTCATTGTATCACTTCCAAGGAAGATGATATTGGGTTTAGCTATTCTATTCTTCTCCATCGCTTCGATGCTTGTTGCATTCATCACTGCGCTTTCTTCATCGATGCGTCAAAGGCCGTCCCTTGTAGTCCCCATGAAGCCACTAGCCAGCCTCCCTGGCCTTCTCTTCTTGATGTTGCAATATCCTCTTCTCAAGGAGATGATTTCTTCCACGTATGGTAAAGGACTTTTCCACCGAAACAAAAAAAGTTGGTTCTTAGTACCAAAGGAGACTCAAGTTCATCACGTAGCTTCCTCAAGTGAAGGATCACAAAATCACTGATCAATCACCAGTCAATACTCTATCGGATCACATACTAAACGATCAATCAACAGTCAAAACTCCATCCTTAATCACTATTAGATATGTGTTCCTATATAAAACACTCAAGTTTCCTTCCTTGTTCTTTGTACACTCAATTAGATTTTGTACATGGTATTAGTCTCTTGTTCTTGAACACGTTTTTTCTTCCCAGTTGTATAAAGAATAATTATGTGTGTATATATTGCACAAGAATCTATAAGTGTACTGAACAATGGAACTAATGAAAGTTTAATAGATTGTATTGTACGGAGAAGTTGGTTTCAATCTTAGACGATTTTTAAAAATCTTTTAAAAGAGTAAAAAAAAATACATAGATGAGAGTATAAAAACACAAATTTGTGTCAATAACAAGTTATTATTGACTGCCATAAGAATTATTATGTTATAAGATACATTCATTTGTATAAAGAGACCAAGCCCTATAAATTTATTAATAGTGGTCATTCATCACTTCGATCTTTTTGTGAACAAACTTTAAGGATATGAAAATGAAAGTGACGAGTAACAAAATGATGAAGTGCATCATAGTTTATGAATCTGACCACTACAGAAGAAAATAATAAAGAGAAATATTTTCGTTATTCAAAACTTGTCCCAATATGTGGACTATAAAAGGCACAGATGCCTTAGCAACTACGGTTTCACTTTCTTGAATCAAATTCATGGATTTACTTTTGCGCCGGATACGGTCCCATTGGAAAAAAAAAGTTTCCGGATAAATTAAGAGATCTAAGACAAAGGACAAGGAAGAAGATTAACACTGGCTCTTGAGTGCATTGATGATATACACAAAATATAGTACAAAACTTTGCTATAGATTAGCAACGACTCGTTACTTATACAAACATATTTCTAAGGCCTCTCAGAGGGAGAATCAAGAACCTACTCGTCAAGCCAATCCACGGTGTAACATTTTTCAGCAGCTTCAACACGAAGTCCTGGAACCGCCTTCTCCACATCTTCCCACATCCACAAAGCCTTGCTGTCGCATATTACATGGCGTAGAGAAGTCAATGAAACCGCAGAGCTCGGTATGCTCGATAAGGGACACTCTCTCATGTCTATTTTCTCAAGTGTCCTTAGCTTTCCCATCTCTTCTGGAAGAGAAGTGAGGCTGACACATTGAGAGATGTCAAGGTACTTTAGTCTCGGGAGCTCACAGATTTCTACAGGCAGAGATTTCAGCTCCGGGCAAGCGTATAGGCTTAGAAGTTGAAGGGCAGTGAGCTTACTCAGATTCTTAGGCAATTCACTGATCCGGGGACAATTTGTTATGCTGATAGACTTGAGAGAGGTGATTCCACAGACGGTCGAAGGTAGCACCACAAGATCTTCACAGTGATCTACTGTGAGATCAGACAAGTTTGGGAAGAGCTGAGGCATGTCCAATGCTGTCTGATCAAAGCTATTGTTGATCTTGCAAAGGATCAAAGACATCTTGTGGAGGTTTTTAAATGGAACCGTACTGCTAGAGAGTTCAGGGACATGAACCCTCTCAAGCCAGAGACTCCTGAGTTTAGCCAAATTGGTAAAGATAGAGAAGTCATGTAGACGCGCAGGAGACATACCGTTGTTGATAATAACGAGCGCCCTAAGCTTGCTCATCTTACCAATAAAAGGTGGCAGGACATAGTTGTCCGCAGAGAAGTTTAATAACAAAACTTCTGCCTTAGGAAGTTCCATGTCAAACCATTCCATAGTACTCATTTCCTCTGTTTTAAAAAACAGAATATATCAAAACAGAACATATCAAAACTAATTCAAGTGACAAACCAAACCAATTCATTCAAAGATCCTTACCTGTATGAATGGAAACTACCCGGGCATTGTATGGCTCATCATTGTTCCTCTCCCATTCTCTGGGAAGCACCGTCTCTCTTTTCGGCATAAATAACCTCTCTCTTCTATGGACTTTTCCACGATTGCTAAGATGAAGTGCTAGGTCCCTTAGAACGTCGTGTTGCGTCACAAATATATCATAGTAGCTAGTGTACTGAGCACCAAGCCTGCAGAAATAAATATCCACAGTAATTAGTCAAGAGCGGTTAAAATCTTTGGAAAGAGATGAGATCATAAAGAGTTCTACAACCGTACCTTGGATCTTTCACGAGAGTAAGGAGATTCTTGTTTGATAAATCAACAAGAAGAGTAAAAGCAGTTTCTTCCTCAAGATCATGCATCTCAACCCACATGTTGATGATAACATCAAGAGGGATCTTCTTGTCTTCAGGGAAGGCACCCATGTCCAAGAAACATTCTCTAGCTTTAAGGTCGAGAGTTTCTAGAGTTGCTTCGATTTGAGCAAACACTCGACTCTCATGAGTTTCATCAGCAGGTTCACCTCTTGATAACTTCTTCACTACACCTTCCCAATATTTCTCAGGTTGGTTTTTCAATGAAGCACCAACAACTTTCAGAGCTAAAGGTAGACCTTTACACTCCTCAACAACCTACCAAAACAGTCTCAACCAATATGAGTATTGGAAGCAAGTATTATTGCACAATCTATGTAAGAACCAATACCTGCTTGACCAAATCTTTACTGAATCCAGAAGGGACAGATTTCTGGTCGAAAGCAGAGAGACAAAACAGAGATGTTGCTTCATCTACATTTAGTAACTCCACATTATAATTCCTCTTAGGATCTGCAAGTTTAGACCGCGAGACCACAAGCGTAGTGGTTCCAGGGATTTTAAACATTAGCTGGTCCAAAGATTCCCTTGTCCAAACATCATCAAGAATCACTAACTTCTTTGTATGATCATCATAACCATTAAGAAATCCCCATAGACTATCTCCCAGATCCTCAAGATTAGGAGATCGTGACACAGTCAGAAACAAAACCCTGTCCCTGAAATAAACTGTAAAAACCGCAAAAGAACGCCTTTTTAGCATCATAGAAACAGAACAAAACAGCCTCTCTGACTCTCAAGTAGAGTCCAATATCAAGAACTTAACAATAATTCACCAAATATGGAACATATCATACATATGTACCGTGCAACTAAAGAAACATGGCATTAAGGCAAGTTAATTACCTCGAACGTCCTTGTCCCCTTCAAGCTGTCTTGCAAGAGTGGTTTTACCGGAACCACTCATCCCTGAGATACATATAACTCCTCCTTCATCATTCAAACCAAACATCATCTCTTTCACTTTCCTCTTCCCCAAATCCAATCCAACACCTGTTACAATCTCCATGGTAGCAGCTTCTCGCACCAATCGACCTCCCCTGAGTTTCATAGAACCAATCTTCTCATTCAATAATCTATCAACATTCCTATCAATCCGATCGAACCGGACTTCAGAATCCGCCCGAATATGATGAATATCAGCGAGTATATGTGTCAAGAGTGGACCTTTGAGGAAACTAGAGATCTTGTTCTCAAGACCTTCCATTTTGTTAGAGTAGTAAAACTGACGAACCATGTCATAACGGTTGCATTTGAGAACTTTTTCGGCGAGTTTACTGCACTTTTCAAGGGTTTCAGAGAATATACGTAGTTGAATCTGGCGATGTTGGCTTAGTTCAATGCCACTGTATTGGATCTCTTTGATCGTCGGTTGAATATCTCCGATCATGGTGGCTAGGTTTAAGGCTGAACTTTTGCATTTGTAGCCTTTCTTACATACTGCAATTAGCTGCCTCAAGAGCTCCGCCATAGCTACGCCGCCGATAAGTTCTGCCATGTGAAGAT